CCAGCCTTCTGGTTAGCAGTCAAGTGCCTTAGGCACTACGCTACCAGAGCTCCTTCCTCATTTATTAGTACACAATTAATAAAACAAATATAGTACACATTTTGATAGCTGAAAAAGCAAAATTTGTTTGGAGATACAACACTTAATGAGATTGAACATTTATTTTTTTCTATTAATCCATGTGTCCACAAATTAATATCATTCTACCAGCCACTCCTCAGTGGAAAGGTTGGGCAATCTACTTCCGTAGAGATACCACCTCAGAAACCTGAGGAGGGGTCGCTATGAGTCAGAAAACGACTTGCTGGCAGAGTTTGGTTTTCGGTTAGAATGAGAGAAGCTTGGCTTCGATTCTGTTCCTAATTTTCATTTTAATAGATGTAAACATCTTACACTGTTTACATAAATAAGCTGATTTCCGTCTAGGATTTATTGAAGCAGCAGAACATAATTCTTTCAACACCTTTGGAGTTCTATGCCAAATTATATGGTGATCTCTACCAACAATTATTCTTTTTAACTTCTCATTTTGAAATAATTTTAGATTAATCAAAGAGTCACAAAAATAGTTCAGAGTTCCTCATATATGCTCAGCATCTTATATAGCCATGTTGTTGTTGTTATGTGCCATCGAGTCAGCCCCGACTCATAGCGACCCCTCCTTGGGTTTCCGAGGCAGTATCACTACAGAAGTAGGATTGCCCAACCTTCCTTCCGAGGAGTGGCTGGTGGGTTTGAACCACCAGCCTTCTGGTTAGCAGTCAAGTGCCACAGTACACTGAAAAAAACTAATGGTGCAAACATTCAACTACTCATTGAAAGTTGGCTGTTAGACCAGCTACCCAGAGGGACTGAGTAGTTGAACCTGTGGGCTCGGGACCACAGTCACAGAGGACATCAAAGCTCAATTGGCATAACACACTACACAAATCATTGTTCCACCTTCTACTGTGGCAAGTAGCGACTGAGATCTTAAAAGCTTGCAAGCTGCCATTTAGATGCAGTGATGGGTCTCTCCTCATCCAGAGCCAAGAAGAATGAAGAAAACCAAAAATTCATGGAAACAATCAGTCCTAGCGACTGGTACACCATCAGTGCTCAGCTACTACTGTCAACCACTTGGAAGAGGATCTTTGTAGCAGATCCTAGATAGACAGGGGAAACAATGTGGAACAAAACTCAAAATCATTTAAAAAAAAGAAAGCTGGGAACAGGTTTGCTGGCCTGATGGAGCCTGGTGGAACCACTGAGACTTTGGCCCCTAGCTGTCCTTCAGGTCTGGAATTGAATGCACACCTGTGGCTTCCAGCCAAGCAACAGACAGGCATACTAGTTGAGCATTTACCTGAGGTAGATACACGCCTTGGAGAGAACAAGCCAGAGAGAAAGAAGGGCTGCTCAGGCACACGGAGACAGCTCAGGGGGTAGGAGTGCACATGGAAGGATGGACACAGGGAAGCGGTAGCTATCAGGAGGAAGTGGGAGAGATGTTGCATTGTGCTAAATTGTGGTCAATGTCATGAGACAAAGTATATGTGATCTGCTGTATGGAAAGTGTATTTGCTCTATAGATTTTCACCCAAATCACAATAATAAATAAAAAAATAAGAAAGTTGGCTGTTCGAATCCACCCAGTGGTACTATGAAAGAAAGGCCTGGCCATCTACTTCTGTAAAATCACAGACATTGAAAACCCTATGGAGAGCAGTTCCACTCTAAACACATAGAGTCTCATAAGTCAGCATCAATGGCAAACAGTACTATTAATTTAAGTATAGACTTTATTTGATCTGATCAAGTTTTCCACAAATGTCCTTTTTCTCTTCTAGGATTCAATCTAAGATACCATGTTGCATTTAGTTGTCATAGTTTCCTTGGTCTCCTCCAATCTGTGACAGTTTCTCAGTTTTTGTCTTTTATGACCTTGTGGTTTTAAAGCATACTGGTCAAGTATTTTCTAGAATGTTCCTCAATTTGGTTCAGCTGATGTTTTCTCTTGATTAGAATTGGCTTACAGATTTTTGGAAAAACTACCACAGAGATGAAGTAGCCTTCTCACTGCATAATGTCAACGTGATTTATCATGGTGATGCTAACCTTGACCACTTGATAAAGGTGGTATCTACCAGTTTCTCCACTGTAAAGTTTTTAGTTTCCATTTCCACAGTCTATTGATTAAAAGCAAGTCACTAAGTGCACACACTCAAGGGGATGAGAGATTTAAGTTTACCTCCTGGAGGGAGAATTATCAATTAATTTGTGGTCATATGTTAAAACCACCGGAATAATTAATAAATATTGGGAGACACTCTGAGTTCGTGCCAAGTATTCTGTTTTTCCTCAAAGTTTTATCCACAGATTTTAGCATCTTTCACCAACACTTATTTTTAATATCAGCTGATAACTCAATTAGGTACCCCTTCAATTTTGTTGAAAACAGGTAATTGGGAGCCATCTTAATTATTAAAAGAATTTCCTACCTAGCCATTTTCTCAATATCAACCTGTTTCCAGTTGTTCTTACGTCTGGTGCCCCAGAGATTTGTTCACACTGGGGAGATGCATCATAGTAAGATTAAATTCAGGTTTCAGGGGAGCTATCACTTTCTTTTCTAAAGTGGGAGGAAAGGGTGTCTTAGGGTGAAAACACACACTGTAAAAATAAGAGATTTATTGAAAGTCCAGAGACAGTCTGGACCTGGAAAACAACCAAACTCAGAGTGAAGATGGCTGCTCCACTGGACAATGAGGAAGAGAACATTCTTACACAGTTGAAGCAGGAACTAAAGCTACAAAATCATGATTGGCTGCAAGATAATCAGGGGAGTCAAAGGCAGGATATCTAAGAGCAGGGACAAGGACAGCTTTTTCTGGTAACCTACTGTTAAATTTGCTTTCTCAATCACACCTGTTCCTTTAGGTCCATTGTAAAGATTTACTGATAATGCTGTGCATAACATAGAGCATCTTTCATCTGTTTGACCTTCTACTAATAGACTGATCTTGCACCTGCCAGACCAGAGGTGGGGGAGGGGAATATTTCCTTCAGGGCATATAGTTAGGTCAGTGCAAATGTTAGAGGAACTGCTGTTAAAACTAAAATTGAACATGGATTCTACATTTATATCAAAACTTTAAGATGGAGTTAAGTCTAGCTTTCAGATTGCTCTATGTACACACACCAAGTGCCTCTGATTTTATGCACTGAGTATAGGTGTATACTTGGGAGCTCTGGTAGCCGTAGTACCTAAGGCACTTGACTGCTAACCAGAAGGCTGGCGGTTCAAACCCACCAGCCACTCCTCGGAAAGAAAATGGGGCAATCTACTTCAGTAGTGATACTGCCTCGGAAATCCAAGGAGGGGTCGCTATGAGTCGGATCCGACTCGACAGCACATAACACAACATAGGTGTATACTTAGGCAAATTGTTTTTAGGAAATATTATCTAGACACTTATTTCCTTAAAACCGTCCTAGACTGAATACTCCTAAAAACCAGAAAAGCAAACCTACAACTATCGAGTGGATTCCGACTAATAGCAACTCCCATAGGCCTTCCAAGCTGTAGATCTTTATGGAAGCAGACTACCTAATCTTCCTCTCACAGCACGGCTGGTGGGTTCGAACCTCCCTCCAGTCTTTATGGTTAGCAACCAAATCTTTTAACCACATCGCCACCAGAGTTTCCAAACATTCCCAGGGCTTTGTATTTTTGGGTTTGGAGACCACGGCTCTGAAGGATTCCACCCACTCCAGTTGTTTCACCTACCAGCTACCTTCGATGATTTCTCAAGTTTCCTTTCATCCAGACTTCTTCCTTTCTCTAAACACTAAACTTTTCTAAGCTGTAAGACTTCCAGATTTTGGCCACCTGACTCCGGCTTCACTTGCCTCCTCTCAGAACCTCGAATTTGACTTTCCAACAGTGGAAATCTTCCAGTACGTGTATACTTTCAGCTACTTATCTCCTCTGTTGGATACCCCACCGCGGCCCCACGTGTGTAGCGTGGGCTCTGGCATCAGGCTGCCTAGGTTCCCATTTTGAGAAACTATTGGAAAAGGGCTCAAAGTGTCAGATCTCTACGGCGATACATTATTTCTGGGGTAGTGCAGTGAGTGTTTCGCACCGGTAATGAGGAACTTTTGCATTGCACACCATAGTCTACAAAGTTCATACACAGTGAGTTCTGCCCGGTAATTTTTGTCTCAGTCAGGAAAATGCGCAGCTTTCACCTCTGAAATGACGTGAAAACCGGAGGAAATCCAATTTACAATCGTGCCTCCAGCGCCTTCACCTAGTTTTGCCAGTTGCACTCTCACTGCCCTAGGCCACGCCCGCCCCCGGGGTCCCACAGACCTTAAAGCGGGGCTGAACTGAGCACTCCACAGATTGGCGGTAGACGCACCAGTGGCCTTTCCTGTTTGAAGACTAAAGAACCATCTAGGAACTCGCGCGAGACGGAGACCGTCTTCTCGCGAGAAGTCTGGGAGGCGGCAGTGATGGCGGCGGCGGGAACCGGCCCTGGCCCGGGAGCTAGTGCCGGACCCAGCCCGACAGCAGCTGCAATTACAGCACCAGCGGAAGAGGGAGAGACGAAGCCAGTGGTAGCAGTTGCAGCAACCGCTCCAACTGGAGAGGGAATATCTGCTGCTCCATCAGCGGAGCCCAGTTCTGGAGAGGCCGAAAGCGGGTAAGACGTCCTGCGGCCCGCGGCGGACTAGGGTAGGGAAGCCCTACCCTCGTAATCCCGGAGCTCCCGGGAGCTCCTCCTGCTTACTCCCTTCGAACCTCGGCCTAAGAAGGCTGGCTTTGCTTCCGCCGGGACCACAGTCCCGCCCGTGGGTTGGCCTATTACTTGAGATCTGTATCTCAGACTACGCCCCTTTCCACACCTTTCGCTGTCGATGAGAGCCTAGGGCGTGTTTTCTCCATCCTATCGCCGGCATGGAACTGGTAGCTCACTTTTCTAGCAGAAACCTCTCAGGTATACATAGAAGAAAACGTCCTGTGGTGCTAGACTGGAGTAATAACGATCCCTGTGAAAAGAGTGGGAGAGCTGCATGCCTGTGACCCGCCCCTAGGATCAAATTCATCCCGCGTAGACTTCTCTGTAAGAGCCAGTAAGTTCCCTTTGCCCCGCGGACCTGCGTCTTGGGCATTCAGTCTGAGCACCGGCTTAGCTGAAAAAGCTGTAGGGATGTGATGTTCATTTGTACTTGATCATGGTCTTTGGGAATAGGCATTTTGAGGTTTGTTTCTTGTGAACATTTTTACTTGAGTGCATTTATTATCTTATAGGGATACAAACTTGGTTGATGTAAGTGGTGGTTTGGAAACAGAATCCTCTAATGGAAAAGATACACTAGTAAGTATTTTTCTTTGGATGTTTACCAGGCAAAATAGGATTTGTTGTAAAAATTCTTAAATGAATCAGAAGTACAATCAAGTCGACTAATTTGATTCTCAAATTGCTCTCTGGACTCAGGAAGTTGCTGGGGATACTTCAGAAGTGATGGATACCCAGGCAGGCTCTGTGGATGAAGAGAATGGCCGACAGTTGGGAGAGGTGGAGCTGCAGTGTGGAATATGTACAAAGTGGTTCACAGCTGACACTTTTGGGATAGATACTTCGTAAGTGTTTTCCAAAGTCTTTATAAGAATCACTTTATAAAATAGATCTCAACCTGTTCAACAGTTAACTGGTTTGTAGGCAAATATAAAGGACACATAGTATTTTTCCTATGACTTCTAACCCCTGTTCAGTGAATGTTGTTGTTGTTGTTGTTGTTATGTGCCGTCGAGTCGACCCCCGACTCATAGCGACCCCTCCTTGGGTTTCCGAGGCAGTATCACTACGGAAGTAGGATTGCCCAACCTTCCTTCCGAGGAGCGGCTGGTGGGTTTGAACCGCCAGCCTTCTGGTGAGCAGTCAAGTGAATAGGATGTTGAATTAGGAATTATTTTAATTCTCTGACCATCCCTTTTTACCTACTGAGGGCACACCCCTAACAGATTCTCTGGTAGGTATTGTCCTTGATTTTGAGTTTACAGCATAGTTGGGAGACAAAACTGTGTACTTCCAAAGCATTTTATAAACACATTTGAGACAGTATTGTTTAAGCTTTATATTGAATGTTTTGGATTTGGGGAAAAGTGTTGGTGCAGATGGTGGGAAAACTTGTCAAAAATTTGAGATGATCAGTGCCTCTTCATGCCTGAAACCAAACAAACCAAACTCAATGCCTTTGAATCGATTCTGACTCATAGTGACCCCCTGTGGGTTTCCGAGGCAGTAAATCTTTATGGAACTAGATTACTCAGTCTTCTTCCGCATAGTTGCTGGTGGGTTTGAACCGCCAATCTTCTGGTTAGGAGTCAGATGTCCTAGGCACTACACCACCAGAGCTCCCATCCCTATTATCTGTTCTTTTGGCTTCTAACTCACTCCCTTTGGATATTCTGTGCTCGTCCCTCAGAAAAACCTACATACAATCTTTACATCTTGTAAATCATTTCATGATTGACTGAAATTGAAAGATTTCTTTCCTAATTTTTGAGATTTAATCAACAGCTAGCAGATGAACATTATTGACTCATTGTGGTAATAACTGTATTGCTGTCTCTCTGTAATGTCCTTTATGGCCCATAGTATAAAAAATAAATTTAGATAAGACTAATTTCAAAATGGGAGCTCTGGTAGCGTAGTGCCTAAGGCACTTGACTGCTAATCAGAAGGCTGGCGGTTCAAACACACCAGCCACTCCTCTGAAGGAAGGTTGGGCGATCTACTTCCATAGTGATACCGCCTCAGAAACCCAAGGAAGGGTCACTGTGAGTAGGGTCTGACTGGATGGCACATAACAACAACAATGTCAAAATAAGGTTGCATTGTCAATTCTGTAATCAATCCCCTTTGAGTAGGGCTATGAACAAGTAACCTTCCTTTGTAATTTGTTTGCTGATTTATAACTCTGGTTCCTCTTTTAGTTAAAAAAAATTAAAGTGGTTTTTAGAAATGCTAATGAACAGTTAACATGTAACTGGTGACCTAGAATAGAATGTTAAAAGAAGAGAAAAAATACCAAAAGATACAGAAAAAAGAATTGACCTTGGTGGAAAGATCTGTAGGGGATATACAAGCTAAGCAATGCTGGTCACTTAGGAAAAGAGTACAGTGGCTAAAGAGAATTAGACAGAGCCTAGGCAAAGAAATTTTTAGATAACTAGAAGGGAGCTCTGGTAGTATAGGGCCTAAGGCACTTGACTGCTAACCAGAAGGCTGGCGGTTCAAACCCACCAGCCACTCCTCAGAAGGAAGATGGGACAATCTACTTCAGTAGTGATACTGCCTTGGAAACCCAAGGAGGGGGTCACTATGAGTCGGGTCCGACTCGATGGCACATTACAACAACAACAACAGAAAGAATCCAGGTAAGAATGAAACCACAGTACAAAGTTTTGGTAACTTTGGAGAGAACAGTTTGTACCTGAATTTGAGAAGTTATAGCTAAAGCCCATTTGGATGGGATAGATGATCTTTTAACTGAGAGAATGAACTAACAATATGAAACAAAAGGTTGCTCTGAATGCCTACTAGTATTTGAATTAAAATAGTAACAGTATATCTACCTGTTTCTACTATGAGGCTTTGCCTTCTATAAATGAATTTTATCACAAAAGTCTGTTTAATAGGAAAGGTTCTAGAGAGAAGTAAAGTTAAAGGAACTCAATTTTACCATCTCCAAAAATGTAAGAATGTTTTTTTTTAATTCTTGAGTGACAGCAAGAGATGGTACGCACCCTCTGTGAGGATGCCCTCAGCTAGTTTCAGCAGCATCCAAGATAAACCTGCCTATACTGATTTATTCTCTTCTGACTTAAACCATTTGTACCAGAGGTCTTTTGTTCTTCTGTTACTTTCTCCTTTTTGAGACTAAGCTCTCTTTATGCTTCCCAGTCACCCAGTGGGAGCTCTGGTAGCATGGTACATAAGGCATTTGACTGCTAACCAGAAGGCTGGTGGTTCAAACCTACCAGCCACTCCTCGGAAGGAAGGTTGAGCAATTTACTTCCGTAGTTTTACCACCTCGGAAACCCATGGAGAGGTCGCTATGAATCAGGTCCGACACAGTGGCAGTGGGTTTGGGTTAGTCACCCAGTACATTGCCACCCCACCTCCCTTCTTTAGTGCATCAGTTCCTCAGTTATGTCCTCAGCCACTGCCAAACTCAAGCTTTCCCTTCTGTTGGCTTCTTCCTCTCTCTGCAAACGGACAGGTTTTCTCCTCCCAAACTCACCTCCTTTTATGAGATTTTTCTCTTTATGACACAACCAGTGTTAGTGGTTAGAACTCCTTTCACCCATCTAAGTAGATGCCATACTTTACCAGTATTTTTCTTCTTGCCCTATTCTTTCTGTTTTTATTAATGTCGCTCCACGCCAGACATTTTTTTTTTAATAGACTTTATTTTTTAGAGAAGTTTTAGGTTTACAGAAAAATTGTGCAGAAAGTACAAGTTTCTGTGTACCCTCCACTATGCCTACCCCTGTTATAGTTTCTCCTATTATCAACATCTTGTATGAATGTAGTACATTTGTTCGATTGATGAACCAATATTGATAACATTATTACTAACTAAAGTCCAAAGTTTACAGTAGGTTGTACACCCCTATGGGTTTTCACAAACTAATAATGTCAGATGCTAACATCATTGTATCGTACAGAACAGTTTCATTGTTCTAAAAATCACTTGAATTCTACCTGGTCAGGCCTTTTTTACCTCCTGTTGATAACTCCTACAAAAGTCTCATATACTTTCCCTTTTTGTAACCTCTTCCCTTTTTAGACCCAGTCTGTCACTAAACTCATTACTTTAAGTGTAATACTTCTGGCAAGGATTTCCCATTACCCACAGAAAAAATTCAGGTCTACCTGGCATGTAAGGCTTTCTTGTGTTTCCTGTCTTTCTATCCCTGAGATATCCTTTGTCCTAGGAAAACTTATTTATACCAGTGTGACCCTTTCCCCCTAACTTGTGTTTTCTCATCTCTACACATAATTCATCTGCCTAGAAAACCAACTCATTCTTCCAAAGCCAATTTGTAACTTATGTCTTGAAAATTTTCCTTAATTCTTAAATCTGAAGATACTACTTGAGTCTTTGGAACTCTTATAGATTAATTGTTTTGTGTATTACTCATTTTTTAATGAAGCATGTAATGTTTTGTGACTGACATGTTTTCTTGAAGAATTATTTGTATTTTTAATTAATCTTTTTAAAATTCTCTCTTCCCTTTCCAACAATATTATTGAAACTTTAAAGAGATGTTTTAGACTACCTTGCTTCTTCCACAGCTGGCCTGGCATACTCTTTTTAGGTGCTTAAAACATAGGAAAATAACCTGTACAAGATGCCAGAATTAGCAGATGCTGATTAGATGCTGAATTAGCCACTATGGTGAATAATGTGTTATTAGACTTTTATGACCAAAAAAAAAAAAATGAACCTAGTTATTTGTAAAAAAAAAAAAAAGAAAGAAAAAAAATAAAAATTAAAGGTCCGTTTTGATGGCCTTAAGTTTTTGGGTATGTTAATATATTAACATTTTTACCTTTCACTGAAAGGGAAGGATTCCTGTTGACTGACTTCTCTTTAAAGAAGTCTGAGTTCAGAAGGTCACTAATATGTACCATTTGGCTATTCTGCAGGTCCTGTTTACCTTTCATGACCAACTACAGCTTTCATTGTAATGTATGCCATCATAGTGGAAATACCTATTTCCTCCGGAAACAAGCAAGTAAGAACAAACTCTGAAGTGCTTCAAAATTAGTTTCTTCTGGTTAGCTGGAAAAGAAACAGGATTTGGGCTTAGGAGAATCAGGAGACCTTTGCTTAGCTGGTAAAAGTTAAGTTGAGATTTAGCTCTAAATGATTGCTATTGACTATTTCAGATCAAATGATGATTCTATTTTTTGCTGCTATAGTGGGAGCTCGGGAGCTCTGGTAGCATAGTGGCTAAGACACTTGCCTGCTAACCAGACGGATGGCGGTTCAAACCCACCAGCC